AATTTAGTGTCCCACTCAGAAATCATTTCAAGGTTGAATTGCAGTACCAAGCATAGTGCAAATACACCTCTTGCAAAGTTGTTGGGTATCTTTTGTGTTTTGTGTTGGGCATTTTTTTGTGTTTTGGCCCAATGTAGCACCTGCTTGTGACACTTGTGGAAGGACGACACAGGAGGTGTGGAGTTATCCCAGTGGCCCAGTTAACATCAGAATCACATTCTGTTCATTCATAGGTATATTCTGCCCTGATGTCATAAAAGTCCTTGTCAGCAATCATAGGCATGCCAGTAGGAGACACCCAAGTCCCATGCCACCCGTTAATTCCAGTATGCTTTATAAAAATTTCAGACAAAGCCCTGACTCACTTTCCAATAGCACTTTAATAACAGTGGGGCATTCAGAGTTTAAAGCCACCTGCTCAAATTCCCACTGTATGTCTGTGTCTAATCTTTTCAGTGGCTCCCATAATGAATGCAAGAGTGCATTTGCCTCTGAACAGATCAATGGTTCTAAAGTTATTTCTGAACACCAGTTTTTCCACATAACTCACCATCCACAGTTGTTGTTTTCTCAGCCTCTGGGTGCCCTGACCCAAGCCAGTAAGACTGCTGCAGAGGGAAATACCAAGGCAAGGGTATCCCATAGTCTCCTGAAACAAAAACAAGTTGGTAGGGTGCATAAGTTTCTTTGTATTTTGCCATGGGGAAGAACCTCATCTATGCAAATCTTGCACTGCAATAATTACCCAGCATTTCATTAACAACAAACATTGCTGCACATTAGAAGTTGGAACAAAGCAGAGCCACCCACCGCAGTGCTTAGAGATCAGTCTCAGCTCTCAAGATTATGTTTCGGTTTCTTTTCTTTTTTTTCAGCCAGAGGAGGGAGAAAAGAATAAGCACATTCCATGTGGTTTCAGATGACTTTTTGTTTTCAAAACTGAAAATTAAATTTAATTAAGGAATTAAATTATTCCCAGCCTGGGGAGGGTTGAATACTTATTAGGCAGACTGTACATGGGAGAAGAAGCAAATCCTGAAATGGGGACTTCCCAGCTAACAGCTGCATCAATTTTCCCCAAAAACAGCACTCTCCTGGTGGGTTATGACTACTGCTCCTATAAAATCAATGTTGGCTGGTAATGATGGGGTCTAGTCTAACACATCTGAAAGGCATCAGACTGGGGAAAGTTGAACTCTACTGTTTTTAAACCAGCCTATTACACTACACATCATTATCGTACTAAGTGTCTAGCCACTCTATTCTTGCATACAAATCCTCATCTCAAATATTATTCCAAATTCCCAGAGATGAAGGAACTGCTGTGGAGGAAGTTCTCCTTTCTCGCTTTCCATATGGTTAGTAGCCCCTGGGAAAACTATAATTCCCATGGAGTTTTACTCTGGCACACTACACTACTGTTCACCAAGGAAGTAAAAATGAGTCAGGAGACAGACCTTCCTCCTTCCTTTTAAGCTTGCATTGCTCCCACCACGTCAGTAGGTCTCTAAGAGAAAATAAGGGGGATATTTTGAGACCAAAATACTGGGAGGGAGGGTGCTTTGGAGATTAGGGTTGAAAGTATTTTTTATCTTGGATTTTAATTCAGGGTTTATAAAACTTGCCTCTTCTTTCAGACTAGCATTTTGAGCCCCCAAAGTTCTGATCTGAGCCCAGATATTTTTTGACTAAAGATGTTTTTCTTTTATCCCTTTCATTGGTGAATTGAGCAGAGGAGAAGGCTGTATCTGTTTCTGCCTTGGATAGATATGAAAGTTTCTTGAGTTGGAACAGATTGTAGTTCTTTTTACACAAAGTTTTCTTGTTCGTGACCCAGAAAGAGCCTTGCACTAAGCAGCATTGATTTTGGAAAACTGTCTTAGCAGAAAGGCAGTGATGAGCTGTGAGCTTTCATTCTATAGATAAGATCTTTTGTGGTGCTTTGTTTTGGGTTTCCAAGACATATAATATGTGGCTAGACAAGTTTCTTGAACTGCGGGGAATTCCTAGTTTCTCTCCCTGAAGGGAACACTTTCCCTGTTATAAAATAAACTTTATAGCTAGTCTTTGGGATCATCTACAGAGCAGTGAATGAAGAGCATATGATCAGGTGATGTGTTTTAAGGACTAGGAGACAGGTCACCTCATCCATCTCAGGCAACACGGCTGATCTAGCACTTGAGGGAAACTCCTGAACAGTAACTAGTATTTTAGGGCAGCAGTGGGAACCTAAAAAAAGTCTGACTCCAACTCCCAACTTTCCTCCCCATTCACTATTATCACAAGGGCTGCTGTACAGACTTGTCATTGAACAAAACTCAACATGATTCCCACCCCTGACCTAGAAGGTGTTGAAAATGTAGAAATGAAGGAATATTCCAGTTAGACCTTCATATTCTAACTCCAGTCTGACAAATACCTATAGTAAGATAGGCTTTATAGTGTTTATGTAGCCAGATGGAAGATACCAGATGGGGCTAATACCCTTTTTTCAGAGCCAGACCAAGAGATTTTTCAGCCGGAGGTAGAACAGCAACTGCACCCATCGCTCCCACACAAAACCAGCCAAGTTAAGAGGGTAGATGAACAGAGGTGGAAAAGAATTGGGATGGTTTTGCTGAAACAATCAATTTTATACCACACAAGACTTTTTCTGAGGTGAAGAGCACCTTGCTTCAGAAATTTGTGCATTTGTAAGGCTTGCAGTATGTTTTGGAGAAATATTAATAAAATCATGGAAGTCAACTGTGGATGGGTCAAAAATGTGGACAAAAATGTGTCCTCAACTGAGTGCATTAGGAAAAATCCAGAAATAAAAGCATACATTACATAAAAGGTAGAGATATTTCTGCAGGGAAATTAAAAACTGGATCTGGTACAAACCAAGAATGGGTCCGGAATACAACAAAATAATGCTTGATTAGGCAATGTTTAACTGTAACTATCACACATACAGCAGAAAATCCCAAATGCCACTTTATTCTAATTCCTGGGAGTAAAAATACAACAGCAACAGATTAAATAGTGAGCAATTTGATTGTTTTTCGTAATATCCAAATTTCTTGCCTGAAATATCTGCACTACTCTGCCTAATGGTAGGGATTGCATCGGTGGCTTTGGTCTGGCCCACTTGAATTGTGCAGTATAATGTTTAGGTTTTTGCAGAAAAAGCTTCCACATCTGTCCTCAATTAAAGTAGAATCCAAAATGAGAGTGTCCAAAGATCTTTTATTTTAAATGGCAAGGAAAATAAATATTTGCCCAATTTGGTAGTTTGCAGATTGCAGCCTTTGGCCTTTTGGCTTTTTGTGTACTTTTCCAAGTTGCGCATAAGGGATGTTTGGTCAAGGCAAAAAACCAAATATTCCATTGATGGATATAAATTAGCAAAATGTTTGTGAGCTTTTCAGTTGACACAAGCTCATAAACCCATCATTTGCAATCATTCTTTTAAAATGCTGAGTCAGTTATCCATTATTTTAGCTTTTTCCAGGGAATGCTTTCCAAAAACAAGTGTAATGCATATCAGCATTACACTTGGATCCAAAGGTACTATCACAAATCTGATTGAGCTGATTAATGCAATTTTTCTCTCAGTCCTCCTCCCTCCTGGAACACCAGGGCCACATCCAGGGTCTTCATTTCTCAGGCCACAACACTGCAGAATTAATGCAGAAAAATCACACTTACCTGGTACAGAATTTAACTCAGTGACACATGCATGGGACCTGCCTGTTACAGAGATCCCACTGATTCTGATGAGATATAATCCCATTTACATGGCCCTGGATTGTGCCTAGGGACTATATACAGTGGGTCCTTGTTATCTGCTGGGATTTGGTTCCAGGACCCCCCTGTGGATAACAAAATCCATGGATGCTCAAGTCCCATTAAATACAATGGCATAGCAAAATAATTTCACTTATATAAAATGGAAAATCAAGGTTTTCCATTTAGAATTTATATCTTTTTGAACATTTTCAAGCCGTGGATGTTTGAATCTGGGGATAAAAAAATCCATGGATAAGGAGGGCTGTATATGATTCTAGGTTTTTAAATATGTTTGATTAGGCAACCTCTAACTACAGAGATTATCACACAAGCATAACAATGCAACTTACCTCTCCTGAATTCATGTAAAATTTGGGCTGCATCTGGTTCCTATCGCATGGCTTTTGTCGCCAAATCCATCATCTGAATGAAGCATGAGTGCAGCCCAGCTCACTTAACTCACTTTCTGGCCATTTTTCAAAAGTCGGAACTTGTGAAAAATGGCTGCAAAGCGAGTTAAGTGAGACGGGCTGCACTTGGGCTGTATTTGGATGATGGATTTGGCGACAAAACCATGCGACAGGACTCAGATGCAGCCTGAATTTTACTTGAATTCGAGAGAGGTAAGTCGTGTTTTTATGCTCATGCGATAATCTCTTATAACCATATTGATTACTATGCTAAATAAAATCCATTATATCTTTAACTTAATTTGTCTTTGAACATTATCAGAGTGGCCACTTTTATTTAAATGGTGCATTAGAATGACAGCCATACCTGGGAATACATTGTCTAAGTACCAAGCAAGCAGTCCATACATAAAAGCATCAAAGAGCATCATCTCCATAGAAAACAAGAAACTGTATTGATCTCCTTCCAGAGGGCTGTTTCGGATGTTATCCCACTGTAGCCCAAGTCCTTGCTCTTCATATCGTGACAAATATTCTGTGCCAAATCCAAACGCCACTTGTGAGAGCAAACTCTGAAAAAAAAGGCAAATGACATGAGATCAGCTGGGGGAATGGCAAATTACTTTAGTGGAAATAACTCTTACTAAGTACTGAACATATGGCATACAAATGAATGAAAGGGGGAAGCACCTGTTAGAATCAGTTGTTGCTGCATGCCTTCAAGTTCTCCGACTTATGGTGACCTGAAGGTGAACCTATCACAGGGTTTTGTGGGTCTGAGAGTGTGTGACTTGCCCAAGGTCACCCAGTGGGTTTCCATGACTGAGCAGGGATTCAAACCCTGGTCTCCAGAGTCACAGTCCAATGCTCAAACCACTATACTACGTTGACCGGGGTGTGCTTTTTCTGTTTTCTCAGAATTTAGTGGTTCCAATCTACTTATCTTTCTTTTTGTGTGTGTGAGAATGCTCACAACTAACTTCAGAATTTCTACATGTATGCGCCTTCCTTGTGTATGCCTTTATTTCTGCTTTCCTCTAGCTAAAACATGTACATTGTTTCTACATTAAAAAACTATTCATTTTAAGAAATAGAGAAATAGATAATTGATAGGGTTGATTGATTGACATGGAAGGGGGAAATTTGTGTGTTTTGAAGTAGAAGTAACAACTCCAGTTGTTTCCCTTTTATTTCTTTATGTATCAGATTTCTTAAAAACCCAGTTTTGTATAACACTATATCAAAAGATTACATTATATTTAAACTTATTGGGTTTAATATTGGATTCAGGGTAGCTTACTGCAGTTTCGTGAGTATCTATCTCTGTTCACAGATTCTAAATATTATATCTGAATTGGGTAAGGAAACAAAGAAAGCCAAATGGAAAATAATATTCACATTTCTTTTTGTTACTCCTCTTAAACTCTCAACACAAACTCTGTTCTAGTTCTAACACACTCTGGTTCACTATGATAGATTAGGCTACTATCCTAAGCACATATACCCTCCAACATTTCACAGGTGAAAAACAGGACTATTGTAGCCAAGCAACATCAGAACATAGGAGTTTATCACAAGGGAAGCAAAGTGCCCAAATCCTGGCGATAAGCAGTGTTTAAATCCCATGAATATCCCACAAAAGCAGGATTGTTTTCAGACACGTTGGGCCAATTCAGCATTATACCAACATTAACCCGTGAATAAAGCAGCAAAATCACTCTGATTTTTACTTTCAGGATTTTTTGCCACTTTATTCACAGGTTAATGTCGGGATAATGCTGAATAAGCCTGATGTTGTCTGAAAACAATCCCACATTTGCAGGATATTCCTGGACTTAAATCCCATTTATCCATGGGATTTTGGCACTTCCTTCCTGTGTGATAAACTCCATAGTCAAGATGGCAAAAGTTACTGCTGAGGAAGAACACAAGCCAGGAGAGGCCGTAGAAGTTTGTTTTTGCCTGAGACTATTGGGAAGGGCAAGATTCTGCTCCCTCCTTTCCTCTTCCCCCAGCTGAGTTGATTGAGTGCAAACTACTTTTGCACATTGAACTCTTTGCATCAAGTGAAGTAAGCTCAGGACAAAGGGGGAAAGTGGGACATTTTAAAAGCAACTAGAAAAGTAGATTAATTGAGACTGTTCCTGCAAAATCTGAAAACTCTGTTTAACTGAAGCTTATTCTACCTCTTCCAGAACTAGGTCAAGCGCTTAAAAATACCTTTTCTATAAATGTTACACATTTTCTTATTTGGGATTCTGATGCAATGTTGGAGAATTTTGCCTTCCCCTTCCCACTACTGGGAATATGGGAGAAAAAGCTCCTTCTCTACTAATTTTACTACCAATTGCACCAAATCTTGGAAAGCCATTTGCTCTTAGCCCTTTAGAAATATCAATTGAACACTGCAATCCTGCGGTTCTGGGAAACATACCCTAGCACACGAAATCCCATCCAAGGCTGTAAGTGATGCCTCTACCTTAGATTAGGTGGTCTGATATCAGATATCAGATGTTTTACTTCCTGGAGGTTTCTCTGGTGGTTTCTGTCCAAGGTCAGAGGTTCACTTTCAACTCAGAGTGGAAGGAAATGAGTGTGTTGATGGAGAGTTGGAGGGAATGAATGGATATAGATCCATGGGACTTTGACCATGCTCCCAAACAGAGCTAGGAAAAATTACTTTTTTTGGAGGGGCTATCAATTCCATATTTCTCCCACTAACATAGCCAGTGGCTATACTAAAGAGAGTTCTGTTCCAAAAGAAGATTCTCAAGATGTGGATTACATCTGCACTGCAGAACTAGTGCAGTTTGATACTGCTTTAACCGCCATGGCTCAATGCTATGGAATGCTGGGCTTTGTAGTTTTGTGTGATATTTAATCTTCTCTGTCAGAAATTTCTGGTACCACAACAACCTAGAAATCCCAGTATTCCATAGTCCTGAACCATGTCAGTTAAAGTGGTATTGAAACTATATTATTTCTTCAGTACAGATGCAGCCATACTCACGAGCAGAGGGCAGCTAACTCCTTTTAGGCTATTTTTAGTAAAAGGGGAAACACAGCCCTTGTGTAGAGGTAAAAAACAGACAAATCAGCTTTTCCTGGCAGGGCTTTGAATGAAAACATATCTTAAATATGAATCTCTTTACAAATGACTAAAAATTCACATCAAAGTAGAGAAACCTATTGCAATTAAAACGTTTTTACTCACAGTGTATCCTTTCCCATGTTTTGAGGCTATTTTGGTATCAAAATAATAAAATATAAACGATGCAAAAACTTAAATATTCTATACATTTAGTTTCTTCAGGTTCTATAATTTAGCTTTCCTTAGCACAAAATCTCTGTGTGTGTTTTAAATAGCAAAGAGTAATGTTTGACACTAGTCATATTTTAGTATTGATGTACCACCAATCCAGGGGGCTGTAGACTAACAATAGATTTCCTGTATCAGCAGGGGATTGAACTAGCCACTAGATGTTCTTGTGGGTTACTCCCAGCCTTACAATTTTATGAAGACAACCAGGAATGGAAGCACTGAACCTCAACAACTGCTTACATATTTAAAAAATAAAGTGCTTGAGAATGTTAAGAATATCTGCAAAAATTCTGTAGGCTGCAGAGAAAGAGTGATGTGGAGAAAGGATTCTTACTGCCATAATCTTTATGTTGACAGTCAGGCGATCCTGCCATGCAAAGCAGACAATGTGAGGCAAGTAGAGAGTGAAGTAGATGACTCCACTGCAAGCGGCTGCCATATTAGCCTTGGAGAAAAAGGTACTCAGCAAGAAGCACTCCATGATACTGGCAGAGGTGAAGGTCAACAGGAACAGAAAGAGGAGATGAGGATTGCTGTAATGAAGCACTTTGCCATACTGCATTGGAAAAGGGAAGGGAAAGAAAAAGAAAATATCAAATGAATCACTTCTTTCCATTTAGCGTACATCAGAGGTCACTCTTCTGTCAATGATACCTTCTCATTCATGGTTACCCATAAACTGTGTGTGTGCATTTATGCCACAATTATTTGAGTTGTTATTGTTATTTGTGTTCAAGACAACTCCAAGTTACGGTGACCCTACTGTAGGATTTTCTTTGCAAGATTTATCAAGAAGAGGTTTGCCATTGCCTTCCTCTAAGGCTAAGGGATTACGACTTGCCCAAGGTCACCCAATCGGTTTCCATGGCTGAGTGGAAGATGTAATGCTTTGCTCTGTCCATTGCATGCATTCCCAATGTGGTGCTGCAGTATTCATGAAAGGTGCTGAAATATTTGCTAGTGCAAGAGACTGCTGTAACATTTACAGACCTGTGATCAACGCTCTGGATATATTTCTTCTTTGTTGTTGTTATTGTTGTGTAACTTCAAGTGTTTCCAACTTATGGCGACCCTAAGGTGAACCTATCACAGAGGGGTTTTTTGCAAGATTTGTTCAGAGGGAGTTTGCCATTGCCATCCTCTGAGGTGGAACATGCGACTTGCCCAAGGTCACCCAGTGGGTTTCATGGCTAAGCTGAGAATCAACCCCTGGTCTCCATAGTCATCGTCCAACACTCAAATCACTACTCCACACTATATATAAATTCAACTGATGCTTTTCTCCCTGGAAGGGAATGCATTAAAATAGTCCCAAAGACTGAATTATCAGAACATACTCTGATCATTCATCTCTTTTCTCTCACCAGACAATTATTCACAGAAAAAAAGGGGTTGAAAATTCAGGTTTACCATATTATTACTTTCTTTTTAGAAGATAGATTAGTGCAGCTTTACTCAGGCTGATGTGTTAGATGGATGCTTCCAGTGTTCCAAGCCAGCATGGGAGTTGCAGTCCAACACATCTGAAGGGATTAGTTTGGGACTTATCTAAACTGGTGAGACAGAAAAATCTTGCCAAATCATAATATTTAGTAATGCTTATTCAGAACAGAACTTGAGAAAGTCACATGCTCTCAGCCTCAGAGGAAGGCAATGGCAAACCTCCTCTGGAGTTTATCACACAGGGAGCCCCATGCAGAAACGGGCTTTAAAGTGGAAAAAACCCCCACAAAAGTGGAAGCTTTCAACGAACAGGATTTCTCCTGTTCTGCCTTGTGTGAAAAGTGAAAGTGCTGTTAAAAGGAGGTTAATCCGAATGGAAATTAGACAAACACTGCTTCTTTTTACTTTCGGAATCTTCCAAAAATAAAAAGAAGCAGTTTTTGTCTAATTTCCGTTCGGATTAACCTCCTTTTAACAGCAACGTCGTCTGAAAAAACACCCGCTTTTGCAGGTTTTGTTTAATTTAAATCCCCGTTTCCTCACGGGATTTCCCTCATGTGATAAAATCCTTTGAACAAATCTTGCCAAGAAAGGACAAACTACAGTTTCCAAAATTCAACAGCATTGAGCCATGGCAGTTAAAGTGGTGTGAAATCAGATTCTTTCTGCAGTGCAAATGCAGCCTACGAAAAATATACTCGATACAGTAGTCTGAACCCTGAGTGGGAATTTTACTCAGTCCAGAGGAAATGGAGAGAAATAATACCACCACTGTTGCTGTATGCAAGCAAACTAACATGTATCACTGCACAGTAGTACCAAAAGTGAAGCAATAACTATAGAAATGCCTGGCCAGATCAACTAGGATGGCAAAGTTGATATTTCACATCAGTTCAGGTACTAACACAGGGTTACAAAGGAAAATAAACAGTGAAGACTTTTTTTTAAAACTTAAATCAGCTCTTTAGAAGTATTTAAACTTTGGTGAATACTAAGGTTCCAGTCTTCTGGGTCACTATTATCAGAAAAGTTTCCTCTTTTAGAACACAGTGGATCACAATACAATCTAAAGAGCTCTTTACAATGAACAAATGGGAAGAGGAAGCTGAAAAGCACATTAGATTTT